CGGACATCAGAACAATTATGCTGCCATACATATATATATATATAATGAAAACCGATTTTTGTTTATCATTTATGCATATTTTTTAGCGAAAGTGGGTGTGAACATTATTATCAATTATGATTGTTGATTAGCCTTAGAGTTACCCACTCTTACAATACAGAGTACTTAGTTGTGCGATGCAGTTTTCATGAAACCGGAATAACACAATGTTTTATCTCTGGTCGTGAGGTCTTAGAGCAAATATTGATACGAGAAATCGTCGGTGATTTTATTCTGAATCTAATAAAAGTTTCATATTACCAAGGTCTCTTTAATATATAGAATATATTAACGTTTGGTCAATGACGTAAGTTCCCGATGTTAATGTAATTAGATCAATGTTCGTAACATAAGAATAACCACGTACTAATGAATACCACTCGTATTAGATCATAATCACTGACACGTTTTGGTAAAAAGCAAAAACAATATGCATGCAATCGAAATTGCAATTCGTAATCAGCAAATGCCGACCACACGCCCATCCGAGAACACAAATCAATTGAGAAAGCAACACACTAATGACAGACTTTTTAAAACACACATAATCACATTACGATAAGAGAACAAATATGTGGACCTCAAAGTCTACAAAGGATTCAAGGTGTTTCAAAACGCGTTATCGTTTGTTCATGTGGTACATGTACCTCCATTTATGTAACAATCTGGGCATAACAAATAATCATGATCACACGTATGTCGAAATCACACAATTTGTATTGAGTCCATGCTTTTCTGAGATTATCTTGTAACATATTCAACAAAAACAAACATGTTTGAATGAAAGACGTCTATGCACATGTGACTAATTTCCACGCGCACAGCGAATGCATTCGGAAAATACACACACTTCAAAGTAGATTTCGTCGTAATAATCCGACCATTCAAGTCAAAGTAGTGAAAGATGATAATGTTCTTACCGTAATTAGTCTCATATAATATATTTAATCAATATATATAGGATTGTAAATTTATTAACAACTGATTGTGAAGGGTTTATCTAATTAACTTTTCGAAAGGAAGTTTGCCACACCTGCCCCAAAATGAATATTAATTTATTTCCATTGCTATGTCTGTAAAGAATATTCAACCACAAAATTACGACTAATCATGCTATTAAATCGAAAGCAAGAAAATAAAATATTTGTCTCAAAGAAAATTTATTACATTACACGAATAAGACAATTTTGTTTAGTGTATATACAAACTCGAAAGAGTGGATAATGATGAAACACAATCCTGGCAAAAAAACGATTTCGGCACCAGTTACCAACTAGGCGCAATGTTATTTTCCTTAGAGGCAGTTATTTGCATATTGTAAAATCACCGCGAGTCAATTAATTATCGTCAAAATCGGAACATATCCAATCCTTGTATGTATTGGTTTAGTGTTAATAGAACTGAACCCATATCTACCATGCACTGTTTACATTGACTAACAAGGAAACCCAATAACATATCGTATATTGTAAATGATATCGAATACTTGATCTAAACTATAATGAACTGAAACCTAACGTTAGAACTACCATTATTCATATAGCAAATACCTTCGTCTTATAATCGCATTTGTTCTTGACAACGGCTAGTCTCATCAATATAATTTGTTTGCTTTCCAACAATAAAAACACCTTTGACGATGTCTCGCATATGACATAAACAGAAGGGGTCTAACTCGATAAAAAGAAATTATAGAGAATCAATCTGTAATTTCATTTTGGAGAGACGTTCTTGTGTATTCGATATTTGTCTCCGTGTATCACCGCATATAATCTATATTCTGATCGATGAGAACAGATTGACTGATTAGTATTCATATTTCTCATTCATGGAGTTGAAGACATGTGCGGTAAAATTATAAAACCCGTTTGCGTTGTTCCCAGGAAAGCGAAACTTCAAGATTGATTGGCGAATGTGTTGACTTTCTCTTGACAAGAAACTTGGTTTCATCACACGATAAATGATTAACCAATATGGGCGACACTACTGTATATTCTGATGCTGTATAGTTATCACCGCATATCAATTATTCTATTTTAGAATAATGTATTGAATTTCAACTGTGTTAGGCTCCCCAATAATTACTGTTGTATTTTGTTATTCGCATGAAGCAAAATTAGGCTAGTTAGAATACCATGAAGGCCACCATACCTTACAATTACACATTCAGAGATTTGGATGGGCCATCAATATTCCTAAAATTAGTGATTACAAGAGATAAATTCAACCGAAATTGAATATCCTGAAAATCCAAACAATTAAATGCTTTCGTACATAGATCTTTGTCTTGATTTTGACTCGCATAATCTTTGCACTTTCTACCAGAAGAGAAAAAAAATGCTAAGCCTATTTAAGTTTCATAACTATGACATCATTTGAAAAGTATGACAGGCTACAAATGCAATGTGAAGACCAGCCAAAGACAGATCTGCTGTCACAGTGCTCTATGAACTATTTGATCATGACTCACATCGTTAGATCGGGAAGCCACATGGGGGACAGGATGTGCTCACTCACTTTCAAACACTGGACTTTTTGACTGCCCACCTTCAGGTTCATATAGCCTTTTCTCATCCATCATCAACTTATAAGGCAAGTTGTTTTAAATATGCCACGTATGTTAACTTGAAACGCACATATTTCTGAATTTCAGGGGCGACCATCTGACTCTTGATAATGTTTGACTCCAAGGATTTATTGTTAGTCTGCCTGCATATACATTGACGATATCCATAAATATCACCGACAGTACGCCATAGAATCACAACAAAATAATGATATATTCGTAATTCATAGTAATATTAATTATATCACTTCTCATTGAGTGTTACCGATGCAACATCATCATCGCATATTTAAACTCAGCATTTCCCGACATGTGCGCCGTAAACAACGGAAATAGGCCCTAATTTGAATACATTGTGAAATTCAATTACATGCATATGTTCACAGTTTCGCATCAATCATTATTGCCACTTAGAGCAAAGCACGTATGTTACAAATTATTGTTGATGACAAAGGTCTTGTCGTGTACGCAAAGAGAAACTATTATAAATGACCTTATGCACATGAATGTGAATGTTAAGGCCATTTGCATATCAGCGATTAACGCAATTTACATTAGGTGCCATTTTTTTAATATTTTAAAAGGTCTGCAATGTGAAATAGACAGATAAATTACCCTCACGACACGTTTCCTATTTTTCAAGAATGTGGCATTAATAATTTATCCATCTTGTCAGAAATATATCGACATACTGGGAATTGAAAATTAATTACAATGAGACGTATATCCTTAATAAACATAAATATTGTATTACATAGTACAACATCGTGTAATAGTACATTGACACTTTAGCACTATAACTATATTCCCTTCATTAAAACAGAACAAAAACAAACGTATAATTTATATGAATTCCGCTATTTTTTAGATGCACACGTATAAAATGCACGTCCCTCCCAACGAACGAGAAACAAGAAAAAGGCCGCTACCGATTAGCCTAAGTTGTTTGGCTCGTCTTTCTTAAAGTGTACATTTATATTAATATGAAGAAAAACACTTAGTCGCCATTGCAAATTGGTAACAGTTCTGACTAGAATCATAACGGCTACGAGCGTTAGCAATAATTATTTCAGATGTTTTAATTTTAGTTCATTAAATGACGAATTACAAATTTTTACGTAAAATGTCGACGTAATTATTTTACATTGTGCGTTTATCTATAAGGCAAATGACATACGTGATGTCAGTGTTCCATTTAATGTTCAATTTGGATCGCAGTCACCGCTTTATCCCAAATTATGAGTGTCATTAGATGGAAACGTTGAGATGATGGAGACCGACATATCGTTACTATTATCATTGTCAGATCCAATCTATCTACTCACTGCCAAATAACCTCTAAAAGTACAAAAGCATGACAAATTGGGTTAAAAACGCGTTTCGGCTTTTCTCTGAATTAAAATGCACTCCACTACGACGGTCAATTTATAACTATGCCCTTCAACTACCGGACTCACCTCTAGGGGGCTCTCTTGTACATTATAACAAACCCTACTGACACGTTAGCAATCAGGTAGTGCATCATACATCGCAGGCTTGACGATGGGGGCGCAGTAATGCAGTTCCGTAACAAAAACAAAATGTTCATAGCTCACACCCGGAGATGATGCTTGTTCTTTAAAACTTGTAATACTATTCGGCTTTCTTGGATGTGCTAGCGCTGTAACGCGAACTCCGAACCGATCGTTACGTATTTTTTGGATTTGTATACGAATCATTTGTATAGTAAAATATTTTTCAGTTAATCCGATTGAATTAATATTTTGGACAGACTACACAAAACAAGATGTTTACATTTGTTCTTTGAGTGAAAGTGATAGAACGTAAAATGTGACGTATCGCACAGTGTATTCTTAGAACAAAGTCTTCAAGAATTGTGTTTTTATAATAAGACTTCACAAAAGTTAGGCACCCACTTTATATGTATTTGTTTGTAGTACATAGTGTGTTAGTATTACATCACTCACTACACGTAAATAAGCCAGTGAATTCCTGCGAGATATTTGAACCATTTCTCACATGTGCTCCCTCATCCGAAACTATCGGATCTGTAATCCGTTTTTTTTCATCACAGTAAATGTACATCTTCTCTCGAATGCATAACAGCCCATTGCGTTTTTTTCTCTCTCTATAACCCAGTTGACCAGTAGAAACCCGGAACCTGGATAATGCGTATTTAGATTTTTTCCGTAGCTGGCGTCAAATTTATCCCCAGAGACCATCAATTTAAGTTCGTCGGAACATTTTCGTGACTGTAATAACTACATGCGTCATTAGGCCTAGACCTTATTTCCTGTGTCATTTTGTCTGTGGGTACACGTTAATGTAGATGTAAGTGTTGTATGCCGTGCATAGTTAATAATATTTACAAATGTTATTTTTTTTGTTTTCGCAGACTTTTCCAAAGCAACATTGAGCTTAAGAATATGTTTACAGGTTTTGAAGAATTCGACGATCTGGAAGATATGCGCGAGAGCCAGCAATTGGAGAACCATGCCTCTCTTGTCATGTATACGATAGACGAAGCGATCGCGTCGATTGACGATATCGACTTTGTTGTCGAACTTCTTGGAAAAATAGGTAGAACCCACACAAGAACAGATTTCAATCCGCAGTTATTTTGGGTGAGTATAACCATATTTTATTCAATTAGTGCGAGGTGGATAATTCTTCTGATAATTCAACTGTCGCTACGTCGTTGATCGTCAATCGTCAGTTTTTTTCTGTCGAAAATTACTAATTTAAAATTTAAGTGTTATCATTATTATACTAGTGACACTGACTTTATTCAGACTGTGGTACATTTTTGCGTGTGCTCATTTACATATTTAAATTTGTATGTCTGTACTGCGAACGGAAGCCTATGACGTGTTACAACAAATAAATAAATTAGTTGAATGTATTTTGAATATGGTAGGATATGGTGAACGTTTTTATTTGGGGGATACTCGTGCTCGATGTAACACCTCTGGATAAGATTCGTATTTCCCTTTTTCAACTTCAAAAATGAATACCATAACAAAATTCAAGTTAAAGAATACAACTTTTTGGTTTGATGGAATTTCATGTACTGTGATAGTACAGAACAACTACACACACGATTTATGTTCAAGTTGTTGTTCCGGGTCTGGAATCGCTCCTCACGTTAAAGTTGTCCTCATCACAAGCGTCATTCGTGGCAATTGTATTTCTGACAATTGATCATTTGGCACAGCATTCTCACCGTGCACTGATTTCAGTTGTAATTCATATTAATCGTAAAATTTTATTATGTCCATCCCTCTGATTTTCTTTATTCAATTCATTGTCTATTAACAAACATGCGTATGCTCTTTCAACAATACAATACGAATTGACAATACAAGTGTCTGTTCTCCTATGTCCGGTCATAATGTACATTGCCCCCCCCCCCGGTCAATGGTCATAATGTTGCTCATATAGTTCTTATATATATATGAACTATGTAATAGAAAGATAAAATTAGGTCATGCCATAACAATGCCAGATTGAACGTTGGACATCGTGGCTTATAAACTCAAAAATCTACTGAAACCGTCAAAATATTGATGGCTGAAAAAAACGTATTCCTCGCTCGCAGGAGGGTAAACTCAACAGCAACGTACGTTCATAGAAAGGCGATCATCAATGCAAATGAACAACCTCTCCCCGACGATGTCCGGCATGCGTTCTAACAAATTACTGGCGTTTTTTTGTTTAAAATAAGCAGGATAATGGGTATATCACATTCTTTCAGAACATAATATCCTCTTAATTAATACACTTCTCTACCATGATTATTTGACATACGAGACTTGAAATCGTAATGGGTGATATATCGCCCCCTGTCGGACAGATTCTGAGTAATTTTAAAACGAAATGTCCATGATTTGACCACCTCAGAGTGTAAATCGCATTATTATTGTTGGTTATTTTTTATTTCGTGGAATACTAGTACTCTTCATGCCGATTTGCGCCCTCTTTGAAATATATGTATGTAAACGTTTTCATTATTTGTGCCATACCTGTGTAGTTTTTAGTTTACACGACAAAGATGTCATATTGTAATGGTTGTTCGATACGCATTAATCTTTTTCAATACTTCATAGTCGGCAGTTGCATATCCGTGCACAATACCCATATAAGAATGCATAATTGCTGTTGTGGTTGATCGGCATCGGTTCGCAAGGCACATACACTGAACATATTGTAATTAATTACAATCAGAAACATGTTTTTGTGCATTTGGTGAAACTACATATGCGCATAATTAATCTCGTTCACAAATACTGAGCAAGCATTAATTAATTATTTGCAGACTTTTTAATTATTCATTTTATTTTGACGATTAGTGAAATTAACCTAGGGTAATATAGTGATGGATTCACTATGAATTTGAAACCGAGGAATAGATAAATATATAAATAAATAAATGATTAAAAAACAAACACACACACAAACAAACAAACAAACAAACAAACAAACAAACAGACAAACAAACAAACAAACAAACAAATAAAGACAGACAGACATTGTGATCACTGACAATGACGAAATCAATTGGTTTGGCAACACATTTTAAAATATATTAAATCACTGTAAACCTGAAATTGATTTAAACAATTTCGTTGTGTCTATTCATCAAATCGAACATAATTTTCATTATTCACTCAAAGCGTATTGCAGGTATTTTAGGGGAATCTCATGAATTGTATGAAACCCAAACAATTCAATTATGCTTACATGAGTTTGTGAAAGATATTCTTATTTTATTTGTATTGTACGTGATTCCCCGCACTCCTACGAAGAGAGTTATCTTTGGAAGGTATTCAGAATTTAACACAATCCTTCCGATCCACGTACTCTGGTAAATTGTAATAACTACTAGATATTTTCCCGTCATTTTAAGATGAATACAAAAATCAATACATTATATTTGCTAGACTTATTTTTTATTTTTATATTTGCAATTCAACGGAACAATACACTTCTAATGAAGCACGTCATTTCGCTAGTTACGATATAACATTTCACTGAAAGCTTCGTGTGTGCCAAATTGATCAAATTACGGCACTTCAGGCAGCAACCGGGTTGCGAGGTCAGTACTCTGCTGCGAAGATCCAAACATCACGGTATTGTGACCACAAATCGCTGGAGGTTGGGACTAAATACCTGCCAATATGGCGTTCTGAACCATTGTAACATATTTCTAACAATACGACTTGGAATTGTTTTTTTCCTGCGAACTCGTACATCATCCGCGCAGCTGTGAAGCCCCTCATGTTGTCAGGAAAATGAATCTCAAGTGAATACAACAAAAGAAACCGTGGCGGTGTTGCTTTCTAGCTACATCACTAGTTACAGGTGCAGCAGCTAAATGACGTGTCTGTGAATATAAGATTCAGCAATCCCTGTGGAATACGTATGTCTAGGTTTGAGCAATCGTTACGTCCAATTTCCGATTCCAATGCCGTGGCATTATAACTGTCCATTAAGAAAAAAAAATCTATTTAACTTTTAAAACCACTTCACAGAGAAGCGCCTCGTAGTCGGCCGCCTTAGTGTTTATTTAATGCATCAAGTAAAGTGGGGGGGGGGTATAATTGAAGAGAGATGTATCATTTGTCTAATCATCGATATGCTCATTTAAGGTAGAAGCCTACTCATGAGTCGTACTACTCTTTTGAATTTATACATTTTCCAATAAATTGTACTTCCAGGCAATATAACATATTTCATTTAAAAAAAGTTGGGGTGACCAGCCTAATTTTCGAGAAAATGATATTTGTATTTTAGTAAATATTTACCATTTTGTCAATTTATAACTAATTTCCTTTATAAGTAGGCTTTTAAATCAACATAAATGTATACACCATGTTATTAGATTTAACCGCACTATATCGTCTCCCACGTCCAACGTGTATGTTTTATGTTCACTAGATTTAACCAAATGTACATCTTGAAATACCTCTCCGTCCTTGACATTAAGGATATTACTGGCTCACGCGTCTCGTAAGCTGCAGAAGACGCGATGTATATGTTCTCATAATACCTACGTGGTATGTATGCATTTATATATCTGTCTCGACATTAGGAAAATGATGCAGAACGCAAAAAAAGAGGATCAATGGATTTCTGTGCTCGTCCTGTTGTTATCAGTACATTGATCAGCTGCTGCACATCCGCGAGTTAATATCAAACCTCTCGCCTTAGAGTGATTTAAAATGGTCGGGATAATTGTATTACCTTCCGGTATGATTGTGTCAAGAATTGTTAAATATTATTAGCACAGAGGATCAGTGCAGATGTTTTATGTAAAGCCTTGGGGGCGTTTTCCACGTGTTTAAAATCAGTGGAAATTAAAAAGAGTCAATTTCCAAATAATCTACTTAACCGTCAGTAAACCTGTATATTGAAGGACAGGCTGCTACTTTGTCCTGTAATTCCCATTGCAGACTTAAACTTTAAACACACTTCAAAACATCGACATTGTCGTCGTAGCGAGCAAATATATCCATCAAAACCTATGACACATGTGGCGAAATTCAATAATTCTTTCTCTTAGTCCTGTTTGAAATGTACTTTTTTAATGAATAAATACGCGTATGATAAAATGTTTCGACATTCATAATACAAATAAAATTCCACCACAACAGGTGAATATGGAACTATCGACGTGTTGATGTTTGTGATTGAGGTTATTAATCATTAACTACATCACGATTGTCGCTGATTTATCAGTGAACACATTCAAGTGTACCTATTACGTGCGTGGTGACTCTTGCCCCATCTAGTATCTAAGGTATCATATTGCGTGGAATGAATAAACAACAAATACAAACACATTTGAGATGTAGTAGTCACGTTATTCGATAACCATAGCTTAACTGGGCAACGACGCACGGTGACAAGAAGCACATTAAAAACACAATGACGCTCATACCAACACGTCTAAGCAAGAGACAAAGACGTACACAATCACGCTCAGAAACACGGAGTCACATATGCACGCGCTGAGACCAGGGTGTACACATTCAGGCACCGTGAACATTTCGCACACTCACGCGCGGTGGGACAAGAACGCACACATACGTGCGGTGGGGCAAGAACGCACATATATATGCCTTCGAAATCTATACTCCGTAGAGATTTTGTTTAACGCAAGGAGTTTTATTTATAACTTGACTGGACCGTTTTTACCAATCAGGTAACAGGATTGATGATTTGTATTCTCAACGGTGTTTAGAACGTGAACGTCGCTATTCGGAGCGAACACATGAAACGCATGACATTCGGGCCTACAGTGAACAACGACGCACATTTTATCATGAATGATCTTGAATGGTCGTTCTAGAATTTACGTGGTTATAGACCTTAGTCTGGCTATAACATCATACATCAGATCAAAGAACAACTCTGAATATACGAGAAACTGACTTCTATAATTAATCTAGGCGTATTTACAGAGGCAATTTGAACGGTCGAAACTCTCCTATTATTAACAAGTTTTGACATAAATCAGTTAGTTAATACTCTTTATAATCAAGAACATAAAAAATGATATATTAAACGTAGGGGTTTTCATGTTGGGTATGTGTTGAAAGTGGCCCGGGGACTGGGGAGCTCACTCTGCATTAATTCTCGCAATTAGGTAGATACATACACTTTGGCAGCTGAAAATGCAATAAACATTACGCAAATCATAACAAATTCGCATGACAGTGGACAATTTGCGCTTTAATTTTATAATAATTATAAATAATTATGAACACAATAAATAACGATAACTAAAAGATTATAAAAATGGGGAATGGTTTTTGGATCTAATTTTTAATTGTGACGTAATAAAGACGTATTCTCCCGATCATAATGGATCAAACTAATCACCAAATTAGTGGCAAATTTCATTTTTTAAGAAGAAGAAGAATACTTGTTTATTTCATCCCCAATAACAAACCGCAAGTATTTGTTTGGCTCAGATTTTCTGTAAAGGGAAAAGTCGACAGGATACACACGTTTGCTGGTTAACTGCACTGTCAACTCTGGCCTGCTTACCACTGCATGAAAAATAACGATGCAAACACTTGAGACGATGTATTGAACCACAAAAGTGATGAATGTCAATTCATCGGCGCGTGACAACCTTGGGTCCACAATTTGACAGTCACATGTTTTGTTAATGAGGCACTAATTTCATGCTATATCGCTCTTTTCTGTCTCCATTAGATAGATAAGCACGGTTAATATCGCCCGGATTAAGCTTGTAATATTCCTTTCACGTATCCATGTAATTTTTTAATGTCAATTTTATAAGGCAAGTTATTTGTTTACGTTTGCTCTGTCATCGTACCCGAATAATCATTTTTCAGTTACCAGTTAGTTATTTTTTCATTTGTTTCAGTTACCATGTTTGGAATTTTAAGCAAAACAAAAATAATAGAAATACTTAAATTATTGCAGTTGTGACCTATGCACAAACACCTCAGAAGTTGTAACGCTTAATGTAGAAATTACGTTTCAATTGCGTAGACATTTTTACTGCTGACGTCTAAATTAAATTGTGTAGTGCAACCGTCCCTTGCTTGTGGTAATAAATAAATAAATAAATAAATAAATAAATAAATAAATAAATAAATAAATAAATAAATAAATAAATAAATAAATAAATAAATAAATAAAAAAAAAAATAAAAAAAAATAAAAAAAAAAAAAAAAAATAAAAAAAATAAATAAATAAATAAATAAATAAATAAATAAATAAATAAATAAATAAATAAATAAATAAATAAATAAATAAAATGAAGATTGTTGTCAATATAATCTTAATATTAACTGTGTCATTGTCAGGTTCGATTATTCAATCTATTAGTTGATATTTAGTTTGAGATAAATACACATATTATATCTCATATAACATCAAATATTGACTGTTAACCTTTTTTTTTATTCGACGGACAAAAAAGTGATCCTAAAATTTTGTTTCTGTGTGTGGGGGGAGGAGGGGTGCCTATGGCATATCATAGAATGGCTTTGGTGGATTCTTGGATTTTTGACATGATCGAGTGGTCTGATTTGAAATATAATTAAAAATTAGCTCTACTGACCATAACAAGCTCAGAATTATTGTCATAGTCCTCCTCTTATATAACAGGGGGCTTGTCTAGTGGCCTTCTTGAGAAGTGTAATCATTATTTCTAAATAACCAAATCGTATTCTCAGTCTATGAATTGGCGGCCATTTTAGTTTTGTGTGGCGATTGAAATAAAGTGAAATGAGTTTGGTTTCGTTTATAGGTCATGCATGATATTTAAGCAAAAAATAACTTTTTAAAAAGTAATGAGGCTGACAAAGTAATTGATTTGGCCGTAAGCTGAATATATCATTACAGCATGACAATTGCAATTTACTAAAAGTTCGAGACTAAAAGCTACGACGCTTTCTTTCTAAGTATAATAAGATACATACATATTAACAATTCATAGAGCTTGTAATGATATATAAGTTACATTGTCTGGAGATAAGGAGGCATTATCGTTATTATGATTAGTTATTTATGTATCAGTCGTTGCTTCGTGTGTTATTGTATGTCTTCTTCCATCAGTCGTCAGATGATTATCTATAATATGCACTTTTGTAATTCACAGAAATGTCTCATTTGACTATTATTACCCAACCTACAAGGATACAATTACCAGTAAAATGTGACAAATGAATAAATGTAGAATTTTGAACAATAGCTTTTTTTTCAATCTGTGAAACATCAACATAAAAGACAGGAAGTATATTCTTATATATAGTTGGCTGAATATGGCGTTCATACAAGTACCGCTTAGGCAGAGTATGCAACAAGTTGACTACAAATAAAGGTACGGGTATTCCCAACAGTAATTTAATTAGTTTAGACCTCTCCATTCGCGGCAGTTGTGGTAAAAATTAGTTAATCATTAATATGGTTATTCAGGGTTAGGGCACAGAAACCACGGACTAAGAGCGCCCGTGATTCAAATGTTGCAACTATCAAGTCACCATGATGTAACTCGTGTGTAACGCACGTAATTCTACCGTGGCAAGGTACCTTTGTAGCGCCACGATGGGCACGCGCAAGCCGTATTTACACACAGTCCATATATGCATCATATAAGTTACACGCAACTATTGACTTATTGACACTGTATGTTATTCGTACATTTAAAGCGTACACTAATATACACTCGTCATGCCGGAGTCAACGTCAATTTTTGTATAATTATTCAGCATCATTATATTCGCTAGTCGAATAGGACAACTATGTTTGGGCATATTGTGGTTGGATGCAAAAATTCTGTTATCACAATGTTAACACAATCAACAGACCTTTATCATTTAATCTCAAATACATATTGTGATTTTTGATTTACGGGTATGTAAAACGAAATTTACATTAACGGAGGTAACTGATAACTTTTCCAATGAAATCCTTAGCACCCCGTCGGCAGGCCAGTCACACTGAAACTAATATATACATATTACATGAAAAATTGTCCACCTATGCGGATCTGTTTGTGCAGGAGTTTTACGACCGTATGCCCTTACTGGCGTCAACCAAACGTGTTATGTGGGAAGTTGTCACCCAAGGCTCACAGGTGCTACACCTTGCCCAAGGGTGACCTGGAAGTAGTTGTGGCAAAGGGTAACCTCATTCTCCCATGTCCATAGACTCCACAACCGGATGTAGTTTAAAATCTTGCCCAGGACACATATATGCATATTTAAATAAATGTAAACGTTGCCTTTAATAGGTAATACCTCACATGTGAGGCTGAGTTGGTGCAAGGCTTTTATGAACGTATGCCCTTACTGACGTCAACCTCACTTATTATGTGGGAAGTTGGCACCCAAAGCTGACAGGTACTACACCTTGCCCAACGTCAATTTTTGCAGGTAGTTGGAGGTAGTTGTGGCAAAGGGTTACCTCATTCTCCCAAGTACAAAAAAATTCCACAACCGGATGCAATTTTAACGTCGTAATCGTACCCAGGACATGTTCAATAAAGCTGAAAACCGACACGACTAAGTCGTGAGGCCAAATCTGTAATAATTCGGGGAGGGCTGAAAAGCACTGCGTTCACCCGCGCGTTCTGTGTACCCAAGGGTGACATGGAGGTAGTTGTGGCTCAGGATAACCTCATCCTCCCAAATTCCAAGGGAAAACTAAAACAATAAAAGCACAGAACAAGTAGCAGAATGGAAAAACGCGCCTATTGTATAGTTCTATATATATATATATGATATACGTTACTAGTATTTTATCTGCATGTAACACGCGGTCCCTTTGATGAAACACGATACTAAAATACGACCCCCACATAAACAACGAATATTTCTGCCGCACGACTATTTCGATTTTATTACTACACCTGTTTAAATTGTTTACGACGACCACTTATAGACGACTGTATCTTTTATGTGTTTGGAATGTTCGAGCTGGCGTTTCACGGTCCACTAAGAACGAGTAATCAAACCAAAAGTAGATACGGAGGTTGACAATCGAAAAAAACGGATGAATATCTTTGGAACTTATTTTTATAACTTCGACTAACTCAGACAATTCATACACCGCACATTTATATCCACAACGATTTACAGTTTTATACCAATTTATCAATTTCCATAACGTTACGAATATGCTTTACTAAATTGATATTGGAAACCAGATTGTGCATGCGTACACATTACATGTGTACATGTTTCTCTGATATTTCAGTTAGAATGCCCATATGAGATACGTCTATTGTTTTTTGTATCTATGTTTTAATTGTCGCCTTTTAAAAATCGGTGTTACTTTAGCTGTTTTTCAAATATTTGGGAAAAATACACAAACTTATAATAATACTAATAATACTCCAATGTGGTAGTTTTTGCTATTCATTTTTTACTCATTTTCAGTCGACCGTAAAACGCCAACTAAAACATGTCAGGTATATGAGTACAATTGTCGATCAGTGGTGATCAACAGTTGAAAAACATCAACACTGAAACATGCCGTGATCGAGTGTTTAACGTGCGCAGTCACGTGGTGAGAAATAAACAGTGCAGCAACAAACATGTTTCATATTTGACGAGTTGTTGAATGAGGGGGTAATTTTTTTCACGAAATGAACCGCACGTTCCATGTATTATAAAAAATATACCCAACTTCATTTCGTACACTTAACAAATTTTAACATTGTTGTTTTTCTTCATAAACAGAGAATAGAGCAGCCATTTTTGTCTGCAGTGAAAGAGACATTAGAAGACCGATACACTAAAAATATTGAGGAAATCTACAAGATTACGTTTCGTTTTATTGTGGATGCACTTATTGATGGAGTGGTCGCCGGAGTTAATGAAAGAAAGGCAGAGGCGGAGGCAGAAGCAGAAGCGAAAGCTGAAGCTGAGGATGAACAAGACAATGAGATGATGAAAAAGACAATGCATAATGGAGACAAAGAAGACAATTGCATAGAAAGTAGCAAACAAAAAGACATCACAGTAATAGCTAGTACAAAACAAAGGTGAACATGGAAGTGATACGGCGGATACGATGAATGAATTATTTGGATGGTATTTATTTATGGCTACGTGATTTGATATTGTCCGTTAACTGCACACTCAGTGATAACTAAGAAGAACCTGACATGAAAAAACATATATGGACCAGAAATCAACTACACCAGATACGACTGTCTTTGTATAAAAAAGAGGTACTTGTTGATCAAGTATTTTCTTCTCAGGAACCGATAAAAAATTGTTTCCATTGTGTTACGTTCAAGAACTTTACATTTTTTGAAACGTGAATTCTTTTATGATACTTATATTAATTAATTTGGGGTATCTTTATTTTTCACTATTAATTTCTATATACATCCAATTTTCTCTCTTGTTCTTGTTTACTGGGGAACATACAGTATTAGTGAGACTTGTTCAACAGCTGATGTAAACTACGCGTATATTACATTTTCCTAAACATTTAAACTTGTATTGTTCTTTGTTTTATATCACATTTCTTAATATATAAGAATGGTCTATATTTGATAGAATGTGTCTTTGAAATGCACACAATTAATGTAACTGATTAAATCGTGTATCTATCGAGCAAAAACTGGTGTTGACTAATTTTATTATATTATTATACATAAATATGTATAAAAATATTATAACATGTTATTGTCTATGATTAGAATGCAAACACTAATATCTTGTTCTATTATAAATAACATGAATATGAATAACAACACTGATATAAATCCTTGACATCGAATGTTCTAAATTATATTCGAATCTCAAGAATTCAAATTACTTCAAAAACATATATTCTGTTGTGTCATTGGTTAACCACCGACTTAATTGCGATGGTATGAAACAATTTTCAAAAGAAATTGTAAAAAAACAGAACACCAAAACGTGCATACCATGCAATTGTTCACTCTGCACTCCCTTAGCCAACCCGTAATAATGACATATATGACCCAATTCCGTATATAATTTGTTGAAGCCTATGAACACAGGGAATTTATTCGATAGATAAACAATCAACGCATTGAAAGAGAAATCAAGAATTCAATATTCCGAAATGATAAACATATTTCTGAATTAAGTCATATGTTGCAAAGAATCAATTGAACAACGGAGAAATGACAGAATACATTAAGTGGAACAGAATACATACATAAATTATCAGATTTCAAACAAAGCCTGTATCACATGTTTAACATATATTATATAATAATACGAGCCTTAACCTGGATTTATTCCTTATTAACACTTTACTCTCCCCATGAGACAATACGGTTATTTGTGAAAAAACATTACTGTATCTGTCCAAAACCTCATTTTACGATACGATACGACCCTGCTTAATTTGTTAAAAACACAACTGGTAGCAAACTTTGCTACACTGAAGTTTACATTATCAGGGTTTCTCGTTAACAGCATATTTGTCACGTATCGTCATTCCAACTAATTCAATGGGAACAAATTGTGCTTCATTGCGTGGTTGAATTATTTTGTTATTCATATGAAGCAAAAACACAAAAAAACAACAAATTCAAAGAATGCAAATCCTTCAATTTCATATTCAGATTTATTAATGATGTATTTTCAATCATCAAGCCTACATTCAGTGATTATATTCCAGTGACATACATCCAATTGAAATTGGAGAGACTACACAATCTGCTATCATCAATTGTTTACACCTTTGCATCAATACCCCACTCTTTCGTACCTTATATTTTTCCAAACTCATTCGCTATACCATAACCAGAAGAACATATGTAGGTTTTTTAAAAAAAACATTTTCTTCTTCTTTTAAACAAACAATTTTGTAGAACAACTCACCTTATCATTCTTAATATCTGCTGGCAGATATAATGTGGTTAAATACAACAACACGTTGCAATGATGATCTCGGATGACACCAATGTCACTTGTCATCTTCAATTATCACAAGGAAACCATTTGATTATAACTCAGAAGGATATATAGCGGATGTCGAATGTGCTCACTTCTTTCGAAACACGGGACATCAATATATGTACACCATGAGGTCCATATATCCCTGTTGTCTGATTTGACACTGTGAAGCACTTGCTATTTTTTTTTAATTTGATTTATTTGACTTGTTAATTGCGTTAACTTATCATCGGTTATGCTTTTAGTGTGTCCTACAAGCCAACAATTCATGTTGAAAGTTTGTCCTGCCTACCTGAATATATTACATCATGTCTACCGCCGAATAAAGACAAACACTTGGATGAGTGAAATACAAGACCTTTGCGTATATTTTGTGAGTATTATTCTAGTAAGGACGGGTCGACAGTCAGGATGCTGTTGCGACGACGAAATGACGACGAAAAACGTTTTGCGTTGTGAGAAACATTTGCGTTCAGCGACGTAAACTAAAAGTGTTCGAATATCAATTTCCAAATAAAAAACAAACAAACAAACATTCGAACACTATGTATAGCGTTTTTACTGACGAATCAAATCTACTGTTTTTGATGCACGATCAATAATACTGCGCGTTGTTTGAGAACTTTATTGAAAACCATGACACTACAGCCATTTATGACGCACTAGAAGTATTTTGTTTCGTGTTGGATACGCCTAGGTATTTCTTTTCTTTTAATACCTAATATTTGAGTTAAAGGTGTTAATTAACTAGTTTAATAAGAGAGCGGCAGCTGTACTAATAAAAAAATCATTTTTGACAAAAATATATTTTACAGAAACGTAGAGAAGTTCATTTTCGTCGTTCCAGGGTACTAAGCCACACTTTTTATGAGGTTCATCGATCACGAGTATGGTGACACTGGAAATGTATTTAATCACGTGCCTATCACAGACAGGCGACGTGATACAAATGACAGGGGTAACTGCTTTTTTATTGCATGTAGTAAATGCAGGTAAATTTACATTGGTTGTATAGTACGTTGACTTGGACTCGTTCTACTATACATTTCCGGTATACTAGGGCAGGAGAACCACGTGATCTATATCCGGTGTCATTCCAACATTCCACGTTGGTTTGCAACTCTGTCATAAATTTGACTAAATATCGAACTAATCTTTATACTTGTCAGATTATATTAGTTTAATAATACTGTAAGAAAATGATTACATACAATAAAGGATTATCGTTGAGTGTTTTTTTCCACGTGTTGGCATCTATTTTACAAAAGAGTGATGCATTGTCAAGTAACCTTTATGCATTTGACTGTTAAAGCGTTTGACCCGTTCAATTATTGGACAGTTGGCTATTGTTTGTTTAGAGAAGAAATGTACAGGCTGTTGTATCATCTGCTTAATACAGAAACAGCTGTTATTCACACTATATAAATGGTTTAGTAAATTCGCCACACAATCGTGCAAAAATAGAGGTTACCAATACAAGTAGGTCTATCTGACATTATAACATGTATATAGTCTGAATCCAGCCATCTGATTGGCTAAAGTAATGTTTTATATCTGGCACTAGAAGACTTGTGATTCTGGCTGAAACTGAATAAACCGGCTTAAAAATGATCAACATGTGCGATAGAATGTCAGTCACGCGAAAACTTTTCCGCGGCCACTTCGAAACCGGCCATTGCGGTTGGTGAAAATGTAGCGATCACATACTCAAATACATTTGAACGTTTTCCTGAAATCATTGATTTTTTTCTTTGTTTCACACAGAGATGAACGTAGTTATTTAATGAGAAAATAAATCCCCGCAAAATAAAACAATTTGTGAGATATAAAATAGAACTGCCTTCATATGCAACCTTGTATGATCCTATATTAGAACTTCGGGGATTGTGATCACATCACAAAACTATTGAAAATCCTTAAATAGCTAACTGAATCGAGATCACATGACCGTGAGCACTGCATGGATGATTGCATGTGTACGATTTACTGACCAAACAGGGACACCTCATTTAGATAATAATACAGTTTATTATTTTTGAAAGTGTTACTATGGTAATAAATTGCGCATTTCGAAAGAAAATACCCCTTGGGCAACGAGCGCGTTTATTGTATCATAGCGTTTGAATTGACGAGTTCGTTGTTGACACTTGCCAGGCATGTCATCGGTTTCGTAAATCGTCCTAAATGCAAAAAAAATGGATTGCGTTTTAGCCCTGTAATTTGAATACAACATCTAGAACGCGCACTGCACGACGGGTAAATTCTCAAATATGTTAATTATCCGCTATATAACCGTTTATAACCTCTAATAATACTACTATATTTCCCATCGCCATTTCATAACGATAAAAGTTTTATACCTACCAAATCATGCGTGAAATTTTGACATTTCATTTTGGTCATATCTGTGAAATATATATGAAAATTGTGTAGGAGACGAACACACTTATGTTTCATCCAATTTCTTAGCTGAACGTTTTTATGGGGCTTCTTACGCTGTGAATAAGGCAATACGTGACGTCTACGCGCATGCATACAACTTTAGTAAGTTGTTTTCTTGATGGCGACGGATTGACGGCAACATTGAAGAAAACATTCTGCGATTCACTTTTTTGTAAAGAAAGAATTAATGACTGTCCACGTACGTATTCAACAAAATATGCAGGATAAATTTCAACAAGCTTATATTGTGCATGTATCACAAAACAATTGTGACAGTTATATTTGTAGCAATTTGAATCCAAGAACCCGAGCGAAAACTCAAATATTATTTCTCGCACATATATGCGATTAAATCGCCGAATGTAAATTTAATTCTTTGATATGATCCTTTTCCACGAAATTCACATATGGGGTACTGTGAATAACTAGTTTGGTATCATTCAGAACCTATAAGGTTTGAGTTACTATAAGGTAAATATATAAACCACATAAAGTCTAACCGTGACATGTATATTTTCCATTTAAATTTATTAAAAAACGCTTAAGGTAGTGTCATGATTATATTTCCATGTTTCTAGATATAGGTCCACTTTTCAGCATTTATAACGTCATTCACTGATACGACTTGATAACTGGTTTCCGGTGGAAGGGCTGGGCGAGATCTTTCAACGCTCACTCATA